AAAAATAAAGCATGCTCTCTCTCAAGACATCACGTTTGTTGAACCTCTCAGATTATTTGCATCATGGATGCAAATATGAACATAAATCCTCAGACAATATCTTCACAGAGCCCATCCATTCAGAAAGGGTCACTTCAAAAGGAAGATCTTGGGTTATCAAACATTCTGCCCCTGGTAGAGTTACTATAGCCAAAGCGCTATGTTACTATTACTATTCCAGATCAGATCATACTAGCTAATTTTCCTGCTTTAATCACTGTATAGAAGACAATCATCTTCCCTGGTTTAGGCAACTAAAGCTAGATTCTATTTGATTCTTGTCTCCAGACAATATTTTTAAGTCAGGTACTTCTGCATATCATCTCTGCAGTTTGAACTTCTTTGACCATTCTGTTAAAAGCCATTCAGTGCTTTCAGTGCTGCAGTCTTTTCCTCTCCATACTGTACTTTGTCTTTTGTTTGTTTGTTTGTTTCCTGTGGGGTTTGTTTGGTTTTGGGAGGTTTTTTTGTTAAGTAATAATGCAAATTCCCTCATTAAAAAAAGTTAAACAAAATATGAATACACTAAGTGACCTACCCAAATATCCCATGCAAAGATGTAAATTTGTGGCAGTAGCTTGGTATGACATCAGACACACAGTAAGATACTAATATTTCAAAAACGTCAATTTATTCTAGTACTATAGAGAGATTCCTTGAGGAAATTACTTCATGTAGGACCTACATATGGAGGTTCTTTGGAAACAGGAAGAACCTATGTAAATAGTGAACATATGATAAGTCTGTCTTACTTCTTGTGCCTCCTCATCATTAAAACAAGTCATGTTCACGTGGTGCAACAGATGCTTCCTGAGGTGGATAACCTCCCACAACACAACTAAAATCACAGTTAGTAATATTACATTCTCCCTTTCAGTTACCCATTTACAGCATATCTCTTGAAACCAGTTTAAACAATTGCAATCTTGTACATATTAATAATAAAGTAATAATAGCAGGACCTAGATCTGATAGAAAAATTCATATTAGACTGCCTTAACAATAAGCATAGGTTTGGGGGTTTTTTCACATCCTTCCTTTTTCCTTTTCTCTGCTGTACCATATCAAAAAATAAAGAAGAAAAAAAATCTAACTAGTCTATGCTCAGACTAGAGCCCCTCTAACTTCCTTAGAAGACTTCAACAAATCCCTCACGTGTTTCCGTAACTATTAAATCCCGTGCTAAAAATTTAGATCAGGTTTCCCCACATTAATGTCGTCAAGGTCAAATACAAGCTTCTTTCCAGCCCATATAAAGTAGGTCCAACAGGCTTCCAGTATCAGATCATTTCTGAGAAAATAAGAAATTTCTTCTAACAAGTTCAAAGTTTCTTATATCTTAAAAAAACTCCTTCTCTACAGAATGATTTTATGTGAGCCTTCATTTTACAGAGGAAAAACAAACTACAACATAAAACAGGGCATGAAAACATTAGGAAAAATAAACTGTGTGCAGATGAAGTGTCTGAAATCACCATTGGGAGTTAACTGGATTAGCAAATTAAAGTAGTTAAAATAAATAGTTCACCTTTTTACATTCCCTCTCAAAATAACTTATTTACAAGAACTTCCTTCCTTGGTGTAAATATACACTTGTAATAGTGTTGTAGTGCTGGTAAAACAGCAGAAAGTTATTCTACTTTGTAACATTCTTCCTGCCAAATATAAAGCTGAGGAATATCTAACCAACATACTCAATATGCTGTTCTTCCAAGAGTCTTGCAAGTAAAAACCATGTAGCATAAAACAGAAAATCCATTCCCTGCTGTTAAGTAAAATCCCTGCATTTCATGTAAGCTTTACTTCTAATAAAGATTTTTTAATTATCAGTTCTCATTTTTAATCAAGGCAAGCAGCACTACCCACTGTGACAGAACAAAAAAAAATCTGGTTCTGAAATAGTGTATATTAGGATATACTTAGTGTTTATTCAGACCTACTGTAATCAGACAACTATGTAACTATGTTGTTGAAATGTAGATCTTTTAAGATTATTGTAAAGATCCAGTAAAAGCACTACTAAGTAAAAGAAGAACATACAAATTACTAGCTGAACTTGCAATTAAACTGCATTTCTTGTTAATTTCAGACTTGCATTTAATGTCTTAGAAGAAAACACCCTATGCAAATACATATTCATCACCAATTTGCATGGAAAATATATGTAGAGCTACTTTGCAGGGAGGGGGTTATTAAATATTTCTTCAATAGTTTAAAATGAACTAGCAGAAACAAGGGCTACATTTCAGTCATCTTATTTTATGCACAATGAGTAGTTTGAATACACAGTTTCACTCATCTGTCACTACCCCAGCTGAAACAGCATCCCTCATCAACTGTTCTAATTTCAGCCTCTTAAACAGGTCTTAAGAGTAGCTTCTGTTGCTTCCTCCGGAACAGGAAGAAACTTAAGGTCAGATATAAAGATGGTCCACTGAAAACCAGGACAGATCTTCTGAATACTAATAAAAAGTTTCCAATGTATAAATATTTCCGTATTTTCTTCTAACTTTCTCAGCTCCCACGTATAACAAATGCAGTACAAGTCAAGAGAATCAATCAAAGTGCTGGGAAGTTCATCAGGAAGATCACACTCCATCACTGATGTTTCATTTTTCAGACTGGACTGTGCCTATCCCAAACATTAATGACAACCACCCAACATTCTGCAATAACAGAGCTAGACTATCTCCATTATATTATAAAAGCCATGGTAGTCAGGCAAAATCCCTAACTGGGAAAAGGGAAACATCACTCCTATTTAAAATGCAAAGAAAGGAAGACTGGGGAACTAAGGAACAGTGAGTCTCAGCTCTGTGCCTGGAGCAGATCCTCAAGGAAACAATGTTAAGGCACACACAACGATGTGATTCGAGACAGCCAGCGCTGCTTCGCTAAGGGCAAATAGTGTCTAACCAACCTGGTGGCCCCAGGGTGACTGCAGCGGTCAGAGAAGGAACACGAACCCGTGTTGTCTATCTAGACTTCTGAAAGGCTTCTGGCATGATACCACATAACATCCTTTTTGCCAAATTGGAGAGAGATGGATTAAAAGGGTGGACCATTCGGTGGATAAGGAACTGGCTGAATGGACATAGCCAGAGTTGAGGTCAGCGGCTCCATGTCCAGGTGGACGCCAGTAATGAGTGGTGCCCATCAGGGACTTCTGTCAGGACAAGTGCTCTGTGATATCTTCATCAATGACAGACAGTGAGATCAAATGCACCCTCAGCAAGTTTACAGATGACCCAAAGCTGAGTAGTGCAGTTGGCACAACAGAAAGAAAGGATGTCATCCAGAGAGACCTGGACAATCCTGAGAAGTAGGCCCAGGAGAACTTCCTGCAAGTGCAACGTGCTGCACCTGGGTTGGGCCAAGCCAGACATGAGCACTGACTGGGAGAACTCACTGAGAGCAGCCCTGCAGAGAAAGACTTGGGAGGTTCTCATGGATGAAAAGCTGTATGTGAGCCAACAGTGTGTGCTCACAATCCAGAAAGCCAACTATATCCTGGGCTGCATCAAACAAAAAGTGGCCAGCAGGTCAAGGGAATTGATTTTCCCCTTCTATTCTGCTCCTGTGAGATCCCCACCTGGAGTACTGCATCCGGTTCTGGGGTCCTTAGCACAAGAAACACATTGACCTGTTGGAGCAAGTCCAGAGGAAGCCACCAAGATGCTCAGAAGGCTGGAGCAGACAGACAGAGAGCTGTGATTGTTCAGCCTGTAGAAGGCCCCAGGGAGAGCTTATTGTGACCTTCAGTACTTAAATGGAGGGTATAAAAAAAGAGAGAACAACTTTTTACACAGGCAAGTAGTGATAAGACAAGAGAGAAAAGTTTAAAACTAAAATAGGAGAGATTCAGATTACATGTTAGGAATAAATTCTTTACTCAGAGGACAGTGAGGCACCAGAACAGGTTGCTCAGAGAAGCTGTGGATGTCCCATCCCTGAAAGAACTCAAGATCAGGTTGGATGGGGCCTGTTGATGCTGTTTGCACACAGGCACATAGAAAAGTAAGTAGCATCATATTAAACTTGACAAATGATAATTCATAACCTAACTCATTCAGGGAGAGCAATCTTCCCCTAGATGTCATAAAAAAGGATGACAAAGAAGGGCAAGATTCTTCTCCCATTCATCTACTGTGACAATGGGTATCAGAGCCACATGACAATACCCTTATATACCCTTATTTTTAGGGGACATCTTCACTCTCCCTCCTTTCTCAAGTTTGTGCCTAACAACTACCAGAATGTAAAGTAAACACAATGAAACTACACAGATATTTCCACTCCTACTAGTAATTTTGAGAATCCTGATGGTAAAGTTAAGTGCAAGGGCATGTCCTTTGCCAGGACCACCAGGAGCCTGCCCACCAAACTCATTTGAACACAGACACAAAAAACTTCAGGCAGGTCTGTATAACCTTCCTTAGTTCATAGCTCTTAATCTACCATTAGCCTACAGCAGGAGGTGATTACTACTTCCCTGTAAAATGTAAGCAAAACCGGAAATCTTTCTAAACTGCTGCCTGCAAAAGTTATTGCTTTGCACCATGAACTACTTGCAACAGATGAAAGGCAAATAGGAAAGCCAGTGATGCCTTAAGCAAGAAAACTTTGAGCAAAGAAACTGTAATACCAGGTGATGGATCACATCAACCTCATTGCAAGCTAAGCCAACACCATTTGCCTACTTCTTACACCAATCACAAAAATAACAGCTTTTATACATAGTCGTACAAAACTTTCCTGTAAGCTAGAACAATGGACAACAATATGCCATTTCAGACAATTACAGAAATCAGACTTTCCTTCCATATTTGGCTGAGGGAAGGGCTGCGTTAAAAAAACAGCAACAACTACTCAAGTGCTGGAAGATAAAGGGAAGCTATACAAAACAATGAAGGAAAAAAGAGACCTCGTCCATGCACAAGTGAAGTTTTTTTTATTCGTACCTCATCACTTTCATCTACTTCAATACCACCGTCTTTGTCATCATCCATTTGTTTATGGATCATGCGGAGAGCTTCTAGGCTGAATCGGTCCTCCTCAGTAAAGCATGGTGGGCTGAGTGAACTGCAGGGATCTAAAGTGGGGAAAAAAAAACAAAAACAAACCAGAAACATCAGTTAGTGTCTCTCCAGAATATAATGTTCCCAAGCAGAAGAAAGGGCTTAATTTCTGTATTGTGTACCTGTACTTCATTGCACATAATCACCAGGTAACAGACATCAAATTTAACTGTAAAATAATAATTATTACCAAAAAAAGTGAAAGGGGGATGTGTGCAAATCAACACTTTTTTTTATCCAGGAAGGAATTCCCAAAAATAAGCTGGAATAGTTTTGACACTTTGTTTTTTCCACCTCAGTAACTGACAATTTCCACTTTTTCTTCTATCATCTACTCTCAGTAATATGTCACTACAATAGCAAATAAAGTCACTGCACTTCCCAACCTCCTTTCTGCACCTCTGGGCTACACAGAGAGTGGTGGCGGAGAAGGAAAAGAACTGTCATGTCATAGAATCATAGCTTCATAAACAGATAAGAAAGGGATGGTAATCACATTGCAGATAAACATCTAAGTCAGTAGTATTACTACTGAACACAAAATATTCAAAGAGGACTGCAAGAGAAGAAAGTGCACTGCAAAAAAATTTCAGCTGATATATTTATATGACAATGTAATACATGATATATCGCTCATGTACCTTCTGATTACAAACGGCAGGCGCTGTGGAGCACATTTCCAAGTCAAAAATAGTATGTTTTCATTTGCATTCATTACTGAAGGCTCATGATTTGTGCACAGCTTATGGCTCGGCTTGCACCATATCAGCCTGTTAAGTCTCTGTTCTTTTCCTTCTACAAGTCATATGCTAAATGCTCCAAAAATCTGCAACGCACGATGATCAACCATCATTACACTGGTCTTTCACAGACCTTGGCATTAACTAAGAGCTAACTATTTCGTTAATTCTGATGTATCCAACACCAAAGAACAGAATATGGAGAAGGATACAGAAATCATTTTTTGAAAGTTCAGCTTTAATAAGATAGTGAATTCCCACCATGATAGCCATTATAAAAATGCAGTGTCTAGTCCCATAAACTGGTGCACTACACTTTAATCAATGCAAATACAAATTGAGGCAACATATGAGTAATTTTTGCTTCTTCTAGTCTATCAGACAATTAAGCTTTCATATTGCTACAGAATTTATTAAAAGGCTCATTTATATAAGTAATGTAAAGGAAGCACAGAAATAGAGAGAATGAAGGGTTTGCACAGAAAAACTAATTTATTGTTTTACTATTTCATACTAGTTGGATTATCATGATTCTGCTTTTCTATTATGAATTTTAAAATAATCAAAAATCAAAAATAATGGAATCCATAAGGCTACAAAGTAGAAGAATGAAGATAACCACAACATAGTTGGAATCTCAGATGCATAATTAACTGATTCCCAAGGCTAGATGCAAGTCAACGCATTCTTAATTATGGTCAAGTTTTATTATACAGAAATTAACAGAAATCTGTCATCTATGTCCATGAACAAAAAAAAACCCAAACAAAACCAAAACAAACAAAAACGAAAAAAAAATCAACATTAAAAAACTCAAACACCTCACAGACAGTGTCCCAGAACAGAGATGCTGCTTTTAGAAATAATTCATGTAATTCAGAAAGACAAACTTCTAAATCTCTTCTTTACTAAATTACTAAGTATTAAATATTACTAAATAATTCATTACCAACTATTAAACCACGTCAATCACAAACTATAATTTTCAACTTTGGAATGCAACTAATATTTTATTAAGACAAATCAAGTAATTCTTTTTTTTACTTTTAAAAAAAAATCTATTTTATTTTTCCATCTTTGTTTTATCACAAAAGGTTTAATTTCGCAATACTCAGTCTTTAAATTTTTGCCCTGCAATTAAAATATTAATATGGCCAGGGGCATTAAAGGACTCAGCCCCGAAATAAAGGACTATATAGAATTGCTGCAGAAAGGCTTCCCTTCCAACCATAATGAATCACCTCTGCTAGTAATTAAATTCCAGTGGCCATGAAAAAGGGATATGAATTTACTTAAAATACAACCATATATTAGAAGAATCATCATATACTGTATTTTAAGTTAGAAGAAAGCATAAACATCAAAAACTGATAAAGAGGTCCTCCAAACACACCCAACTTGCTTAATTTGTACTTAGTTCTATTCTTACATAGAAGAAAACGTCATATAGTGTTCACAATTTGCAAGCACCCACTCAAATGTTCTTCCATTTTGTTCAGCTGAAAGCCCAGCTTTTCAAATCAAAAAGGTTTTCTCTGAGTACAATTTCACACAGTTGAGCCTGATCAGTTCCTTAATCAGAGTACTTATCTTAAATATGCCTTTTTAGGATATTTAAGCATGAAGGCACTTTAAGGAGTTATGGTTCTTCTTGAGAGAAGTAAACAGGCTGCTAGTGCTTCAAATGTCCCATGAGCTGGCTCCAAGAACACTTGATCTCTCTCTTAAGAAACGATAGAGTGCCAATTGCTCATTTTGAGACTGAGAAACAGAGTAGGACCACATGTTAACTGTAATAAAAATTAACCCACTCTAAACAGAATCCAGATTTATTTTGAAGCCACTTACTATCATGAAGCTGGTAAAATTAAACATTCCCAGACTGACAACATGGGTCATCATCCCCTTCTTCAGAGAACAATCTCAAAACAAAAACAAATTAGAAAGCCAATCCAATCTAAAGAACAAGTGAAAAGCATTTCACAAGCACACCTATGGAGCCCTACCAAATCCAAAAAACAGCTGACGGAAACTGAATCATCTGCAGCTCCGCAGAATATTCTATCATGCAGTATTTTGCCTCAATTGCATGGTAAAAACAATTCAAATTAATACTTGATGAAGTATGGTTAGTTAATTGGCTATTTGGGAAGTTTCCAAGATAAAAGCCAAGAGGAAAAGTCTTAAGATACAGCAAACACTATAGATATAGCCCTGAGGCCCCACAACAAGTCATAAGACTAGTTGATAATTTATTTTTCACTTTGAATCCACCCTATTGAAGGTGTTCTGGGATTCCAAACCTTCTACTGTATTTTAAGGACAAACCTAATTTCATGTCTGGACCAATTTCTCTGTCCTAGTCTGGTGTGTTGTTATAAATATACTTAGTCCAAAATGATCATCACAGGAAAAAGCAGATGATAAATTTGCCCATGGAATGAACAGATAGCTTGGAATTTGAGCCTTCCTTTAACAAAAAGCACAGAAGAATTAGCAAAAGCAAACAAAAGAGAGAAGGTGGACAAGAGGCATAAAAGCACAGCATATGTCACTCCAGGCACCATTTATTTTACAGCCTAGTTTTTCATGTTGGTCAGAAGTGACGAAGTTTCAGAACTACCGGTTCTGGAGGTAAGGTACTGGTTAAGGAGGTAATTTGTTACTAAAAACTAAATGCCAAACTCATGGCTCAACAAACTTGGCATAGGGTTTTGAAACAAACCCCTCTCCTGCCTTGAGGCAGTAATTGCCTCTCAGCTCTAAGGCAAGGGCAGAAAGTCTTCACCAGTCCACAGGAGTCTCTCATGAGAGACAGTCTGATAATGAACAAAGCACAGTTAACCAACCCAAGATACAGGAAACTTTGTATTTACAGGCCAGGGGAAAATACAACAGAAGTTCAACTTAGAAAGTGACACTGTCAACACAAGACATTAAGGAAAATTAATTACACTGGTATCTTGATATCTTCAAGAGCTCATGTTAGCAAAGCCCTTAAAATTTATTTAGGGATACACCATTAGAAATGGTTCCAAATCAAAAGGGTATATGCACTGCACAGTCTTTCATCTATCCTGCATTTACTACTGCAAGTGTAACAGACTTCAGAACGAAAAGGACTGACAGATCAACAAACAGTAGTTCTTTCTCACACACTTCCTTTGCATGTGGACCCTGGAGCACAAAAGCTATGCCTATGCCAAAGCCTGTGACAGTGACCCCAAACAGATGTTTGCAGTTCCAATCTGTCCCCAAAGTGCCTGAGCCTTTAAGTGTTTTCAATGCTTGAAAGAGCCTTTTTAAGAATGAATGGACAAACAAAACCTTCATGATTTTTCAGGGCTACCTGGAATCAGGTACAAACCATCAAATTTAATATTTAAATGCCTTTAAATTTTACCATTAGTTCACTCAGAGCAACTTAGCAGTTGGAAGTTATTTCGAACTTAGCAGCTGGAAGTTTGGAGACCGACTACTACATACCCCTTTTGTTCTGTGAGCGTTCACCAAGAAGGAAGAGCACCGTTTTTATGATAACATATGGCCGTCCTATGGAAACACGCAGTGTTTCCATGACTGCCTGTTACTGATGAATTCAGCACTGTTGTGCTAGGTTTATGATTCCTCATTCCTAAAAGCCATCTGGAATAAAGGGAAGCCTCACAGAAAAGGCAAGCACTATACAGTGTCAGTTTCCTAAGTATGTACTCCCAGCTTAAAATAACCACGGTCCAGCATCTGCCATGATGACAGAAGTGGATTTCTCTGCATTTTCCAGAGACAAAGCAGGTATCCACGATACCCCCAACCCCCTACCAAATGCATCTTCCCCTAACTAGGATTTCTATTTCCTTATATTTCTGTTGTGCTTTAGTTTTACATGTACTTCAATACATTACAGTTTCATCACCAATTCAAAATATGACTCCTTTCAATGCACAAAACCTGTAAAAAACCAAAAATTTTTGAAGACCTGAGTACAAATCTAAGTGTCAAATACAAAAGGAATTAATGAAATTACTGAAAAAAGCAAGTGTTTTCAAGAGTTTTGCCTGACATTCAAACAGTTATTCACAGTAAAGGCAATAAACATGTTTTTATCTTAAACCCTTACATAAGTTGTCAATAAAAATCTTCAAATGCTTGAGACACAGCCTTAGAGTGAGCTTCATTTAATCTTTCAATTAGAAGCTCCCAAAGCAAATCACTCCTACTCTTAATAATTAAACTCCTCCATATGGCAAGTAGGCTGAGCAGGATCTAACAGTTAA